GCTGAATTATTATTAGGAATTGCTGCTTCGCTGGCTTTGTCAAATTCCAAATAATAGGAAGAAATAATTTTCTTTAACTTTGACATTTGGCTCATCAACAATTTCACATTATATTTATAGAGAAGGAAGGGAGATAGACACATAGTTTCTTTTGATGATCTTCATAGAAACAGATTTTGAGTCGATTTATAAATGTCCGCCCGTCAGTCCATGTATTTTGGTAAACAAAGTACAGATCGGATAAAATAAATTATCCGATTGAGATGCAATTTTGCACAAATCAGTGGTTTGGCCCAAGGACGAAATCTATTGAATCAATAAATTTGGATATGGCTCCCATATATATTTCGTCCGATTTACTTCTTAGTGTGCACCAAATATTTAGTATTAGTTTAAATGGGATGAAATTTGGCACATACAACCAAATCGAGCCTAGAGACAAGAATGTCATATTGGTGGAAATGGGTTCAGATAAAGCTCCCTAATATATTGTTTATCCGATTTGTTATTTTTGTCCTCCACAGCCGTAATATGCACTCCATAACATGGATATTTGGGCAAATATATTAATTACAGCTTAGAAATGCGTCTGCCAAATTTTACCGATATCGCTTTGAATATAGCTCCCATATACATCTTCATCCGATTTGACGGTTATTGTGCACATTCAAACGAATTTATCCCGGAAGCAAATACGACATATATTGACTTTCTGTCCCCACATATCTATTGCTACGATATAGATTTTTGTACCCTTCACCATAGTATGGAGGGTATACTAAGTTTGTCAACCGTTTAGGCCACCTCGAAATATACATTTTGGACCCCACAAAGTATATATATTCTTGATCAGCATCAAATTCTATGTCGAGTAGGTTGAAACAATATTAGGCGGATGTGTCTTTCGGCTGTCTTTTGTTGTTGAAAATAATATAACGGTACCTCCCCATATTCGTTATTTTGATGCTTTTAGCGACATTGTTCACCGGCATTGTTTAAAATTTCGTATTTGTAGTTCCTAATCGGTATTACAGTCTATGGCAGAAAATTGTGTTTGCATGCCCAGGTCTTTATAGTTCGTAACGTGTACCACAATCCTGTGACAGAAAATTGCCTATGCAGGTCCACGTCTTCGTTTAGCATCCATATAACGGTACCTCCCTATATTCATTATCTTGCTTTTCAGCGACATTATTCACAGAAATTGTTTCAAACTTTGTATTTGAAGGTACTATGGCCTGTGACAATAAATTGCTTATGCAGGTCCACGTCTTCGTATAGCCCCCACATAACGGAACCTCCCTATACTCAGTATTTTCATGATTTCAGCGACATTATTCACCGGAATTGTTTCGAATTCCGTATTTGTAGTTCGTAACGGGTACTACAGCCTGTGACAGAAAACTTTTGATACAATTTTTAACGGATTCTTTACCGTGGGGACTATACAAAAATATGTACATATACTAAAATTTTCCGTTAGTTAATTTTCGTAAGATATTTATTTGTTCCCAAAGTAGGCCAACTACACGTTTTTAGCCAAATCGATTGGAAAATGTGGTCGAGTCGAGACGCGAAATAAGGGCCAAGTCAATTGAAAACTCTGACCACTACCCAGGAAATAGCCAAAACGTTGAACTTAAGGTCCTTTGTGTATGGTTAGGGCTATATACAGAGTGAGATAAGAAAACTGCAAACAACTTCAGACTGCTGTCATTTCTAAGGCACTCGTCTGACAGCTGTTAAAATTATTCCAGTGACAGCTCATTACATTGTTAACAAGCGTACAAAAACATTTTGGTGAGTATTTTCTTGAAAAAAAAAGTTATTCGTGTTGGAATTGAAGCGCGATTGTGTGACTTCTTTATATTTGACTGAAAACCACAAGTGGCTATCGTTAGAGCACTCTAGCATTTAAATGTGAATGAATCTTTTATGTCTCGTACGGAAGAAAAAAGCAACATCAACTGAAATGGTTCGAAAAGTAAAGAAGCGACTTGATCGAAACCTGCGTCGCAGTGGCCGAAAAATGGCTCGTGACCTGAACATATCGCAATATTCCATTCGGCAAATATAAAAAAATGAGCTCGGGTTAAAACCATTGAAACTCCAAAAAGTGGAAGAACTTACACCGCAACAGAAAGAAAATAAACTCAAAAGAGCTAAAGAGTGGCTTCACTTGGACGAAAGTGGTGAACTGCCGAATTTGGTTTTCTCCAATGAGAAAACATTAGTTGTCCAGCAGTTTGAAAACAAACAAAATGAAAATGTGCATCTTCGGTTGGCCACCAGAACTCAAGCGCCGGCCATGGTGATAGTGTGGGCCGCCATAACAGCCGATGGTCGCTCTCCGCTCGTATTAATCGACCGTGGAATCAGAATAAATGCACAATGGCCACAAAAATCTCCGGATATCAATCTGTTGGACTATTGTGTCTTGAGTATTTTTGGAAAGCAAGGTTGGCACTAAAAAATACCAAAGTGTCGATCACCTCAAGAAAGCGTATCGCCGGGAACGGGCCAAAATATCGCAGATCAACATTCGGGCAGGGTGTGACGGTTTCATTGGCCGTTTGAAGGACAAAATTCGTACCAATTCGAACAAATCAAACTTATTCTAAAATTTGATGCTATTTTCGTTATATGTTGCTTTTATTCAACAAAATTTATGGCGTTTAACTTTTTTGCGGTTTTTTTTTATCTCACCCTGTATTCTCTGATAGAAAATTACCTACACAGGTCCACATTTTGTATGGATCTAAAATGTAACTGTACCAAATGGTTTCAAATTTGGCATTTTAAGTTGGTAATGGGTATAACTCCCTATTACATTTTTATACCCTACAACACTATGTGTTGGGGGTATTATAAGTTTGATTGGGCCAAAAATTATATAACACCTCGAAATATTGGTTTCCCACATAGGAAAGTATATATGGATCTTCCTATCTCGCCGAGCTGAGTCGATCTAGATATTTGATATGTCCGTCCGTCCGTCTGTCCGTCTGTCCATGTTAATTTGTAATCACTCTACAGGTCGCAATTATGGCCCGATCTGCACGAAATTTATAATGGAGAATATAACCCTATTTCTTTTGGAGATGATCCCATTATATTTAGGGGTTGAAAAGGACCAAATACTGAAAGAATTCCTGATTTTGCAGCTGCTCTACAGGTCGCAGTTATAGACCAATCAAAGTGGAAGTTAGCATGGGGCTAGAGCTTAGGGCTGGGCAGAAGCCTTCCAATTTTGATGGGTAATATTTAGTGGGTGAAATAGGCCACAACATTTGTGTTAAATAAAAGTCAAATTTTCCAATAATCCCGGCGAAATCGCAAATAGACGAACAGGTCAATTCTGACCGTTACGTAGATGCCGATTGAAAATATATCGGATATATGTAGCGAAATATATACAATGTGTATTGACAAAGGAAGGGGACGTTAGTTAGAATGTTATATCTCAAGAATGGCTTGACCGCTTTTGACAAATTTTGTCAATTCAGAATGCCCTCTTGACCTAAAAGTATAAAATTTAAAAAAAATCACAAATAAATATGCCAATAATGATGTTAATATAGATTTTGTAGTTATTTGTGACATTTTTTCATATTTTTTATCGCATGCATTTTATAACTTATCGCATGCATTTTAATACTTATAATATTTTTAAATGTTTTTTCACCTTACAACACAGGTTGGATTTATTATATAAGGATTGCAAATATCGTCCGATCCTAAAGGGTAGGGTTGGGCTCAGAAGGTTAGGCCTATTGTTTTCAAAGATGTCCGCAATACATTAGGGGTTAAAATGGACCAACAACTAAAAATTGTCCTGATTTTGCAGCAGTTATAAAGGTCACAAATAGAGACCAGAGGACACGAAATCTCGCATGAAGTTAGAGTTTAGGACAGCGGGTGGAATGGACCACTACTTTTGTGTGTAAAAATACCAACATTACTTACAGACGATATCCGAAATACACAAAAGGCGAACTTCAGGCTTTTTTATGTTGATTTCGTTGACGAATATAGCCAAATACCGTAGACAAGCAAATCATATAGATGAGTCTAAATTTAGAGGTACGGAGAAGCTTCTTGATTTTGGAGATGATCGCAAAAAAGTTAGGGGTTCAAATTAATGAAAAACATAAATGTTTTTCCGATCACACAATTGAAGGCAATCGACACGCCTGAGAAGAGATTTAAGGACAGCGAAGAATTCTAGCATTTTTAACGACCATTGGATTATATTTAGCTTTAAAGTGGACCACACAACTATAAGCACGACGAAGTGCGTAAATAGTGGGAAAATGTCCCTGGTGACATAATTTCAAAAGCGAAATCTTCCAAAATGGATTTGGACATTAGGGGGCTACTAAGATATTGTAGTGTTGTAGGGTATCACATGGTCGGCCCCGCACGACTATAGTCTTTGCTTACTTGTTTTTAAATAGAAATAAATATTTATGGCAAAAATTATCTTGAATCTGTGTGATTTTTAAACTCGTTAATTTTAATTAAAAATGTGTTTAATTTAATATGTACCAAAATACTTAAGGAAAGTACAGGACTTTATAAATATTTTTATTTACTATGGACAAACCAAAATAATTAACAAACTAAATCCCTCACCACTTATTGTACGTGTCATAACAAGATAAATTTCCTTGGCCTAAGGAAGCGTCCTTACGTTTAAATATATACCCCATCATGGCGTTACGTCCATGGGCCAAGACAGTTTTTTTTTTGCCTTCTACTTAATATTTTAAATAGGCCAACTTTCATATTTTTAATTTAACAAGTTTTCACGTGCCTTTTTCCCTTCTGTCCTCCCTAATCTTCGCCTGCTGTGCTCTTGAAAATGAATGCGTTTTAATTAAAGTAAATTTATTTATAACAACATCATTATTATATGCGTCAACTAGAAAAGTTATGACTGAAAATTGTCACTGTTTCTTCATTCTTGTATCTTTTTTCTTTTTTTTTGCCTTTTCTAGGTTATTGTCTATCCAACACGTGACAGTTTACAGTTTGTGGGAGCAGTGTCCATATTGGCAGGCATCTGGCTGCTTGCCTTGCTGCTGGCATCTCCCATGTTTATTTATAAACGTCTAATTCATGCTGACATTCCACCCGTTCTGCAGGAACTCGGCATACATGGAGTCTCGTTTTGCATAGAAGATTGGCCGCTGAATCATGGCCGTTTCTACTACTCCATGTTCTCGCTCTGTGTCCAATACTTGGTGCCCATACTGATAGTGTCGGCTGCCTATTTCGGCATTTACAACAAATTAAAAAGTCGCATAACCGTGGTCGCAGTACAGGCGTCGTCCCAACGCAAGACTGAGCGAGGGCGACGCATGAAACGCACCAATTGCCTGCTCATTAGCATAGCTGTGATCTTTGGGGTGTCGTGGCTGCCGCTAAACTTTTTCAATTTATACGCCGACATGAAGCGGGGAGCGGTGACCAACAGCATGCTGGTGGCATATGCCTTCTGTCACATGATTGGCATGAGTTCGGCGTGCTCGAATCCCCTGCTGTATGGATGGCTGAACGATAATTTCCGTAAAGAATTTCAAGAATTATTATGCCGTTATAAAGAAAACACTAATATTGCTCTTAATGGTCATACAACAGGAGGCGGACAATCGCGACGGAAACGAAAGAATGCCGACATATCAAAGGGTGATCTAAAGCTATTGAGTAGTGTGGGCGTTGGTGGAACAGCCGGAACTGGGGCTGGTGGTGGGGATGGACGCCTGACCGGTGGTTTGTTGGGCCTCGGTAATTCCAATAATAATATTGGCAGCGGCATGCGAAGTGCTGTAACCGAATCAGTGGCTTTAACAGAGAATCCCATGTCAATGGAGGTTACGACGACACTTGTGATCCGGTAAATTTACCCCCAAAAACTTATGACACCACATCAAAACCACACAAAGTATCCTTCCACCATATGCCACAGACACAAAAACACACACCAATACATGCGCCCATTGACACACACACACATTTACACACTGTCTCTTTCATATACATAAAGGCACAGAAACATACAGAGGGACAGCCAGACAAACAAAGTCATTGAATCAAATTCAATGCAAATTCCACAAATGAAGAAAAACCAAATACCAAAAAAATTATTTTAAATAATATAAAAGAAAAAAAAACAAAACGAATTATTTTTAAAATAAATATTTAATTGAACAACTGTACACAGTGACCACACAATTCCAATGTAAGTTTATTGTTTAATACACACTGAAAGTTATTAAATAGTGAAATTGTAAAAAAACAAACAAACAAACAAAGTTAGAACATCTCCCTCCTCAATCCAGTATTCTTCCGAATAGCCACCAGCATATTTACATACCCACACATACATACATATGCATATATTTGTACATTTCCTTTTCGATGTATTCAATGTCTATTTTACTATTGGCTGTAATTGCATGATTAATGTAAATATCTATGTAGAGTTGAATAATTAATTTTGTTTGAATTTTTAAGTTTTTTGTTTGTATTTGACAAGTTAAATAGATTTAAACTAAAAACAAAATCAAATCATAAATCAACCAGAACGAAATGTTAAAAAATTGTACAAAATTGTTTAATAATTTTTTGTGGCAGATTTGTTTTATTTCATTGTTCGGTTCGTTAATTTCGTGTTGACAAAAAATTGTGTGCAAATCAAAATTATGCCTTTCAATATGAGAATACGAACTAAATGCAACAAGAAGACAAATTGTCCCGCATCCAAATTCGTTGAATATGAGTTTATTTTTTTTAATTGTAAAAATATGGAATATTTTTCGAGACAGTCTTCTACCCTTAAGGAGGGTAAATATAAATCGTAGCATATTCATATGAGGCATCCGTTCAAAATCGTAAAAATAAATCAAAATATCGCTGCTATATGTTTTTAATTGGGTCATTATTGAAAATTGTTCAAAACATTTTATCCTACGGTAATCTAAGATCAGGCGATCATGCCAAATGTGGGATCTATCTTGAACATTTTCTGCAGGTACTATTAATAAATTCTGAGATTTAAAATTAACCATACAACTTTTTTATGCCCTTTACCACAGTATGGAGGGTATATAAGGTTTGTAATTCCGTTTGTAACACCTCGAAATATACATTTTAGACCCCACAGATCAGAATAAAACTCTATGTTGATTTGGTGATGTCCGTCCGTCTGTGAAAATCACTCTAGCTTCCGAACGAAATGAAGTAAGTTGTTATAATTTAATAATTTGTATACTATGTCTGCAGGACTTTTGGTATTGAAAATGTAGGTCCATGTTTTGTTATAAACCCCATATAATGGTACCTCCCTATTTTCGGTATTTTGGTAATTTTTCAAATTTCGTATTTAAAGTTCGTAATGGGCACTACATCCTATGACAGAAAATTGTCCGAGCAGGTCCACCCCTTTGTATAGCCCCCATAAAACGGCTCCTCCTGATATTCGGTATTTTGATGATTTTAGCGACATTAATCAACGGAATTTTTTCAAATTTGAAGTTCGTAATGGATATTACAGCCCAAAACAGAAAATTGTCTGTGCAGGTCCACGTTTTGGTGTTGCCCCCATATAATGGTAACAGCCTATATTTGGTATCTTGGTGATTTGATTCACCCATTTTTTTCAAGTTTCGCATTTGAATATTGTAATGGCTTATGACAAAACTTGCCTATGAAGGTCCACGTCGTCGTATAGACAGAATTATTAGGGGAATTTAATTTTTTGAGAATTGCTAATTTCGTTCCAAATAGTGAAGGGTATTCAAAGTTCGGCTCGTTCGAACTTACAGCTTTTTTACTTAATTATTTAAATTATCATTTTCCAATTTTCTTCAAAGTTCACACATCACAATATGACAATATCAATATTAATTTTTTTCAATAGTTATAGAACAAAAATTCCAGCATATTACGAAAGTCGAACTAAATTTTGAAGACATGTATATCGGCGTTTTGAAAGTAAATATCGCAAAGTAACCTAAATTTAGATCTTCCTTTTCCACATTTTTCTAAATTTTGTGATTAAGATTCTTGCAAGCCGTTAATTTCAGGTGTGTAGAATCTACAGGGTGAGATAAAAAACTGCAACAAAGTCAAACGCCATAATGTTTACATTTTTTTAAATTCTTTTAAAAGAAAGCATAAAATGTCGAAAATAGCATCACATTTTAGAATAAGTTTAGATTTGTTCGAATTGGTCATTATTGGCACGAATTTTGTCTTTCAAACGGCCAATGAAACCGTCACGCCCTGCCCGAATGTTGCTCTGCGGCATTTTGACCAATTCATGGCAAAGCGCTTGTTTGAGGTGATCGACACTTTGGTATTTTTTAGTGCCAACCTTGCTTTCCAAAATACTAAAGACCCAATAGATTCTGTTGGCCATTGTGCGCTAGAAATGAAGCGAGGAGTTCTGGTGGTCAACGAAAGGTGAACATTTGCAGCTGACCTCTTTGGCAAGTAAACACGATCATTTTGTTTGTTCACAAATTGCTGGACAACGAATGTTTTCTCATCGGAGAAACCCAAATTCGGCAGTTCTCCACCTCAGCCAAGCGAAGTAACTCTTTAGCTCTTTTGAGTCTATTTTCTTTCTGTAGCGGAAATTAATTTCTTGTACTTTTTGGAATTTCAATGGCTTTACCCCGAGCTAATTTTTCAATATTTGCCGAATGGTATATTGCGATATGTTCAGCTCACGAGCGATTTTTCGGCCACTGCGACGCGTGTTTCGATCAAGTCGTTCTTTACATTTCAAACCATTTCTGATGCTATTGCTGTTTTCTTCCGTTCACTTCCTTGTCGTCGGGCTACGCTGCAAGCATCACGGTAACGAGCGATGCTACGAGACACAAAATATTTATTCACATTTAAATGCTGGAGTGCTCTAACGATAGCCACTTGTGGTTTTCCAGCCAAATATAAATAAATCACACTATCCCGCTTGAATTCCATCACGAATAACTTTATTTCTGGAAAATTCTCACCAAAATGCTTTTGTACACTTGTAAACAATATAATGAGCTGTCACTGGAATAATTTTAACAGCTGTCGGACGAGTAGCTTAAAAATGACAGCAGTCTGAAGCTGGTTGCAGTTTTCTCATCTCATCCTGTATAGATCCACTCCTTCTGGTACCTCCCTCACAAAGGGCAAAAATTTTGAATATACCGGAAACATAAAATGCGACTGAGTGAGCAGATTGCGACCAACTCACTTCAAATTTCACACTACAATACAAAATGAACAATATTGGCCCATTCCTTCGGAACCTATTCCAAAGAGGGTCAACAATTTGAATGAAAATAACAGCAGTCAAGATATGTTTAAATAATCGAATATTGGCTGATGGTATACATCTGTCGGCAAAACCTTGTTTTAGTTCTACTTTAATAATCGGTTGAATTTTTCCTGTAAGTATTTCTTGTGTTACAAAGTGTATTTTGAGCCACCTTTAAAAAAAAAAATATTTGAAAAGTGATATTGAAAGTTCGCCATACCTTTTCAGACAGAAAATTGGGGTTTCAGAAATTAATATTTGCTTGTTCAATGTTAATAGATAAAAAAACAGAGTTTGTTTCCAAGCAGGGGTACTCCTGCTAGAACAGAGAGAAATCGTGCAAACTCTCTGAGCATGATTTGCTCATGTCTTAACTTTGCCATATGTGCGGAATTTTTCACACCAACAATACCTATTTTGGTTTAAACAGCAGATAACACGTCTTTCCTTTAATATACTTTAAGAAAGATATGTTTATTTTTTTCCTCAAAATAATTTCATTTACCGATTTTGGGAGCATCTGAATTCCATAGTAATTCTGATGTATTTTATACATTCTAATAGTCCAATCCCCTGTCTTTTATTTAAACAGCCTAGAGCTAGGTTCTACTTTATTTTGTCCTTTTTTTACATATTTTTCTGCTATTGCCAACTCCACGTGACTTTTAAAACTTAATAATAAATATCACATTTTCCGAACAATATTAATTAATTTATATGTATTCATATAAAACGACATATAAGTGCATATGAATGCAGCCTGCTGGTCCCTCATATGCGATATCCAAGAATTCACTCCAATTCACTTTTGATAGAGCCCAACAAAAGTCATTTCGAGTGAAATCTGTCCATTACCAACGAGGGATGACGGCGGCGGCGAACTTATTTATTTGTCAACAATTTTGTATGCAGTTTTTGTGCGTTTCGTTCCATATTTTTATTGTTGATGGAATTTACTTTGTTGTGTAATATTAAATACGTTTTCGGTGTATTTATTTTATCATTTTATATTTGTTTGTGTAGCAGAAATATATGAATTAAATGACAACATTTATTTGTATTTTTTGTAATTTTAATAAATTGTAAGAATTTAATTTAGAAACAGAAAAAATTAAAATAATTGAAATGTAGACTAAGGAATATGTATTCTTTGCATTTTTTCTTCCAACTTCAAATGTACAATTTTATGAAATAAATGCAAATTGTAATTTTATATTCAAATAAATAATGTGTGGTGTTTTATTTATTCAATAAAAGAATTATGCGGTAAGTATAAAGTAAATCTGTGCGTGTATGCAAAACATACATAAATGATGACTTGGTTGGAAAAACTACAGACGATAGATAAATTCATTTGATATTCTACACAGAATGAAACTTTCTCAAAAAGAAGGTGCATAAGGATTTCCTAAAGTCAAAGGCAAAAAAGTATTGAACGTTACAAATATAACAGGATATAATAAAAGTTTGCTATCAAAAAAAAAATCATAAAGGATTATTCTGACATATTTTTTGTCGATTAATGGAACTTGAGTTTGATAATTTTTATACTACAACACTATGTGTTAGGGGTATTATAAGATTGATTGGGCCAGAATTTATGTAACACCTCGAAATATTAGTTTCCCATATAGGAAAGTACATATGGATCTTCCTAGCTCGTCGAGCGGAGTCGATCTACCTATGTATGTCCGTCCGTCTGTCCATGTTAAATTGTAATCACGCTACAGGTCGCAATTGTGGCCCGATCCTAACGAAATTTTGCACGAAGGTGGGTTAGGATCAGAATAGAAGCCTATTTCTTTATTTCTTTTGGAGATGATCGCCAAATGTTTAGGGGTTTAAATGGACCAAGTACTGAA